ATTCTGATGTTAAGTAGTACCGCTGCCCATGGGCACTAACAATGCCAGGAGGCTCGCAAATGCGTTGGCAGCCTTATAAGAAATGGTACGCCAATATAGTCTCAATAAATTAAAGCATGTTTTGTCATCTTGCTTGGTAAAAAGCCATGAGAGTAGACAAAATATTCAATAGCTTTTCGAAAATCTCCGCCGGCTTTCGTATATAAAATTGACGATGGATTTACATGTTATCTATGTGGAAGCTATAGAACTATACTATAGGCTTAATGTTCACTTCACTATACAAGTTTTAAAAACTCTAATACCAAAACCTAGATAGGGTCACAAATTACATTTGTAATACGCTTTGTGGTCTAGCTCAGTTTAACACCGTAATCCGATTAAAGCATTATTAAATCATGATCAGGAACAAAACAGGATGAATGGTCAGCTCACCCTACCTGTGGTTTTCACTTCGAGCTTCCGAACTACTAAATACCTAGTTGACGCCAGACGTTCACTACACTGTCCAACAAAAAACTTTCAATGGAATTTATTAAAAGTGTTTAGTTGTTTTCAAGAATAAATTTACTTAGAAAAATGAAATATTGGTTCTTGGCTAACGCAGATGGTCGTCAATCGACATTATTAACTCTAATAAACTGATATTTTGGAACATAGAGAATAGAGAAGACTTAATAAACGCAGTGTCGGTATCGAAAAAACTTTGAGGTTTAAAATTAAGCACATCCAATAGATTACATAACATAATAGATGTTATCTTCTGTAAACAATATACATCTATCAATATTTCACCAAAACAAAGGGTTAGCTCTATTGGTGCAGTTAATTAAATTTCGGCCTGTCTAGAATTTCATCCATGCGTGTTAGATGCATTCCAATTACATCTAATGCATTATGTGCAATCTGTGGTGCAAGATACAGATAAACAAGTTATGAGCTTTATTGCTCTTCAACAACCAATTTTCTTTCTCTTCTCTAGCTTTGGTTTTGTTCATGTTATGAGCTTATTGTTTAAAACTAAGTAAAAGCTCTACACATGCATGGTAAAAGGTTAAATACTTTAATGTTATAACAGTGAGATCTACATAAAGAAAAATGAAAAAACGGACCGGAGAATAAGCTTATTTAAAATATTGAATCTAGTTATACTAACTTGTACGACATAAGGATGATTTTACACAGAAAACTTAGCGCATATGGTACATGAAAGATGAATCATTTTGGACACCTCAAGTATGACGTTAGCTCTAATGTCAGAATTTATGTATGACAGCGTGATAATTGTCAACTGTCAGTGTCTTAAATACAAATGTCAACAAAAAACCGCCAGATAATAATTGTGTTTGTGATTGCAACAATTTTATTTATTCATTTGTTTTATAGTATTTTAAAGTTGTAAAAATAATAAGAAATCAATTTATGACGGAAATTGTAAAACGGTAACAGTTTTGAATACCATCGCACTTTTTTGACGATACTAATTATTTAGGAGTCTCGGAGGACCTTCATTGGAACACCTCCAAGTGAGTTTTGCTCCGGAAACGCGTCAAAAATTTTATAAAGATTTATAAAGTAAACTTTGCACTGTAAAACTAATTACCGCTAGTCTAGCATAAACCACATTCAAAATGGCCGATTAAGTTTATAAAATTAATAGGGATGTGAAAAATAATCGATTTTTTTAAAAGTGAAAATCGATTTTTGTATTCGATTTTAATATTAAAAATAATTGAAAATTCGGCGACCAAATATTCATATACTAACTCTAACCTAACCAATCTAAATAATATTTGTTTTTGTGGACAGCTCCGATCTAAATAGTAATTGTTTATTCAAGCCTCGGCTTCTCGGCGTCCTGGTCGCCTTCGGCGACCAAATATTCATATACTAACTCTAACCTAACCAATCTAAATAATATTTTTTTTTGTGGACAGCTCCGATCTAAATAGTAATTGTTTATTCAAGCCTCGGCTTCTCGGCGTCCTGGTCGCCTTCGGCGACCAAATATTCATATACTAACTCTAACCTAACCAATCTAAATAATATTTGTTTTTGTGGACAGCTCCGATCTAAATAGTAATTGTTTATTCAAGCCTCAGCTTCTCGGCGTCCTGGTCGCCTTCGGCGACCAAATATTCATATACTAACTCTAACCTAACCAATCTAAATAATATTTTTTTTTGTGGACAGCTCCGATCTAAATAGTAATTGTTTATTCAAGCCTCGGCTTCTCGGCGACCAAATATTCATATACTAACTCTAACCTAACCAATCTAAATAATATTTGTTTTTGTGGACAGCTCCGGCGCTACGGGAAATGCAGCCCCTCCACCCTTGCGTACCAAAGCACAGGCATTTTATTCAAGCCTCCGCAACCTCGGCTTTTTGGTCGCCTTCGGCGACCAGCCTCAGCCGCTACAGCTTTCATAATGCCTGTGCTTTGTTACAGCGGGTGGGGGCTGCTCTTCCTCCGCGCCTCCGATTATTTATATACACTCTAGGGGTAAGACAGACAAGACCACGTGGATAGTGGGGTGCTCTGATTCGGTTTTGGGTACTTTTTGGATATTAAAGTAAACACTTTATTCTAGTAAAAATTTAATAATATAGAAAGTTGCAAACAATGAAATACAAGTACTAATTAGAAAATACAGACTAGTAGGTATCGATAATTTCAAAAATTTCGGAACCCTATAATCTATCAACACGAAATTAGGTTAATTTCAATGTTGATTATTCTATAACTTTAAATTTCAAAAATGAGGAAATAATCGATAAATAAATAAAACGATTATTAACAATCGATAAATTAAAAACACGATTTTTTTAAGTGAACGTCACATCACTTATAACCAATAGAAAAGTAGAAAATGGCGGATTGTTTACAAATTTTAATACATTACACAAAACTTTAAATTTTTTATAAAAATATTTAGACGCGTTTCCGGAGCAAAACTCACTTGGAGGTGTTCCAATGAAGGTCCCCCGGACACTCCTAGATAATTAGTATCGTCAAAAAAGTGCGGTGGTATTTAACACCCAACCCTTTTAAAACGTAGTAGCAATAAATTATTTAAAAGTGAATTTGTGTATATTGTAAGTATTTTTGTCATTTAAAAAAAATATTAAATCTGGCTTTTATATTGAATGCAATAATCGAAATGAACGATTATATAATCTATGAATAACAATGCTATGTACAAAATATATAGGTATAAAATTACATTATTTGTACAAATTATAATTACCATTAAGTTATTTGATTTTTAACTCGTTATATTTAATTTGACAGAGGTATCAAGGAACAGTCAAGTTTCCTTAAAATCGGTGCAGTGAGTTTTTGAATATGATCTAATTTTTCAACTAAATAGACAGTTGGTTTATTGTACTTTTATTGAATATTTATATTGTTTGCTTTTTCATTAATACTAAGGAAGTACTAAACATAATTCATGAAAGTGTTTATCATACCTTCCGCTCGATTAGAAAATAGGATAATATATCAAACTGTCTGCGTCAGCTTTCAACACCCGACCGCAGTTCAGAGGTTATGTTCACTCAATCGAGCGTGCTAGATTTGGATAGTTGCCGAAACAAAACGTAGTTTTACGGATACTTACGCTCACGACTTTTCGCTTTATGCGGGAAATGAATTATTCGGAATTACCTTATATTTGCGCTTCCTTATCTCTTAAATGTTGTACATCTATTGATTGGTGATGTCTACATCATATAAATAATACTTTTAATTACCTCTTTGGAGTTTGTAGAGTGCACGTAGCACGCGCACGTCATAGGCTGAAAGTATGATTTTAACGAAATTGACACAGAAATCTGTTCGCCCTATACTATTACGGGTATGGAGATTTCATGCAACATTTAATGTATACATTAAGTAATATGTAAGTTTATTTTTTTGAATAACATAATGAATCTATAAGTACACCCCACTTCATTACTAAAAAAAATCTTATCAACCCCTCATAGTCCTGACAATCTCCTTTAACTATTATCAGTTTTCGTGGCGCAGTGAACTGAGGCCGGTTGATAAAACAATTAACGTGCCCTTTGTGATGATAATAATTTTATCTACACGCTCCGCTGATCTGTGACTTAAGATAATCTTAAACTTAGGGCGAATAATAGAAGGAACAGGAAATAAAAGAAATTATAAAGTTACGGGATTAAATTAAGGACAATAATGTATTTAAAATTATAACGTTTGATGTTTCTCAAAGGTTATCATTTAAGTGCTTAATATTTGTGGTTTCGGCGGAAGGAGGAAAGAAAATTGATTTACGTCTTATTACAAGTTTAACATGCATATTTCAAAAAGAAGCTGTATACGTTGAGTTTGTTAAACTGAACGTTTAACAAACTCAACTTTAACAAAATCTATAACGTTTTTGTTATAAGTAATAGTCCGCGTTCAGTATCGACTGTGAATCTTATCCTAAGACGTACCGGTTTCCTTAAAATGTGTTTTTAAGAGCCATATTTGCACAAACATTAGAGCCAGGCATTGAGCAATCAATATTTTTAATTATATACAATATGTTTACAGAGATACTATTGAAAATGTTGATGAAATTCCAATGAGATCATTATTAAACTTCAAAGAATGAGCGTAGGTGTTTGTCCACAAAGGGCAGCTTTGATAAGCTTTTACAAAGACTTCGCTGACGTTGACAAATCTCTTTCGACGATATTAGGCTAAATAGAATATCTAAGCACTAAGAAATAGCCAGACGATATTGGAAAAGCCATCATCTGCAGCATGTCTGCATAACTCGATATTTGAGCTATGCGGGTTTTAATATCATACATGTAGTCAAACGATAGTTACCTATAGGTATATGCTTTGATGATGTACTCTTATTGGTATAGTACGTTGATTGCGTAGAGTGTTAACTTTTGCGTTGTATTTTTTAAAAATAGAGGTTAGAATTGTATATTTCTCATCGTGTAATTTAACCGCTTCCGCTTGTTTAGTCATCATGCCGAATAATGCTGAGGTAAAGTCGACTCGGCGATATTTTATTTATTTAAGATAGTTTGTAAAATTTTAAACCTAAATAATGTAAGACCCTGTTACTTCTTAATTAATAAAATATTTATTAAATACAAAAACCACACATTTTTCTACTTACACTTAATAATTAGGAGACAGTAAACACAGATAATAGAAGTTACTTGTCGTACTTTGTGATAATAAGTACATGAAATGTATTTTTTAATAAAACTCGAGTTATTAATGAGATTTCCACAAAGCGATAATTACTACCAATTAATTGGACTACGAATGTGTATCGAATTCCTTTTATATTGGGTCTTTATTGATTCCGTCGGATCTAATTTGTTTTAGCTATTGGATTGATGTGCGCTATTTTTAACCCTTTAATGGAAAGATTGTAAATGATTTGAATATTCAGAAGGTTTTTCTGTTAGAAGCTTGTGGCAGTTTACAAAGTAATTTGTTTGTCTGGTGGTGACTTGAACGAATGGCCAAACTGGCAGCTACGGTAAAATTTCTATAGCAAGTAATAATAATAATATATTTGCAAAAATATTCAAAAGTGTTGTGGTGGTACAATTTAAAGTTCGTATGTTCTGCCACAAAAAATTGCGTGCAAATTTATCTTAAAAGGAATTTTACGTACTTACATTAGGAATCATTATAGTCAATTCTTATATTATTGTCGTGATAAAATATCACATTATTGAAATATATTATTACGTTATAAAAATAATATTTTTTTTCCAAAAGTAGTAAATTAAGTCGAAGTAGGGGTAAAGGTAGGTACGCGCTAACCAAACCTCACATTGTTTACGATAAACGTCCTTCTTGTGAATGGTTTTTTTTTGAATTTTGTTATCACTTATTGTAACGGAAGTGTTTTGGGCAGTAACAGTAGTTGTATGAAGTAGATAAATATTATCATTATTAATTTACCTTGTTACTAAAGATAAAAATCGTCCCTGAGTAAGAGTATAGTGCTATTTATAGAAGAATGTGCCAGCTCTAGGATCCCAAGCACCGTTGATCAGACGTTCTAGAACCTATAGTCTTTTCCAAATGGAAAAACAAAAATAGTATTTTACTTTAATTAAAAAAACCTCTTATTGTTCAACTGCATAAAGCGTTATTTAACAGTCCAAAGTTTAATTATTTAATTGAAAATATTGTCTATTGAATTTTGAAATAGGAGCATTATGACAGAGGATACTGTTAAACTGTTTGTTAATTGGAAAATAGTTCCGACATAGTATCAAAGATATTGAAAATATCAACGTTGACTTTTGATTTCATGCGGACAAGAGCTATTGAAATATACTATAATTATTAATCATACTATCATAAACTTTTTAAATCATAAGTATTTAGTCTATGTTCTCTCAAAATGTACATAAAGTGATGATTTTTTTGCAGGCGGCGTTGTGCGCAGATTACAGCGTGCCAGTTGACTGCGTTGCTGCTGGACCCGCGCCCAGACCGAGCTCCTTCCACGAGATATCCGCCCCCAAGGTAATACATTGAAATACCGTCAATGTTCGTACTAAATTTACAGATAAGACACGATAAGCAATGACTAATCGCTTCGTTTTTTGCCAATATTCAGATAAGGCACAGATAATGAAGATGTTAAAACATTGCAAAAAAACTTATCTAAGTGTGACATAGGAATAATTAGGAGTAATAAGGAGCTATATTTTTGTTGTCATCACACTTCGTATCGCAGTAATAGGTAGAAATCATTAGGAGCTACATCCAATAAATATGAAGGATGTTCCATCAATTCGAAGACAGCATCTTTAATGGCAGCCATCGCTACTCTGGACTTGTGCGCGTTATCTCTGTGAAACAAAACAAACTTGAGTTTGCCGCGCCGTTGCTTGCGTATTGTTTGTTTGTCCTAGGTACAAGGTCTCCATACCCATGATGAAGACATCCACCCGGCAGATGGAATCGCCTTAAATTTTTTAGGAGTTGGAGATGACGGTCTTTTCAAAGGCATGGACTGTTTTTCGTTGTCGGGTCATGATGGTGAAGTCATGTCGTTCATAGTTATGAATCCAGAATTATTGGTCTTCTTATAACAAACCCAAACAGTTTTAATAAATTCGCAGTCTCGTTTGTTTCTGCGTCAGAAATTTACCGGTATTTATTTTTATTTTTTTCCAAGGAGAAGGTATCATATTATCACTATTTATTGAACATCCCTCGTACAAAAGTTACTGGCACATTTTTTGCTGTATATAGCAACAAATATTCATATACCGTACTGTATACTGTAGTACCTATCTACCGGACTGTTATAGGTATATAACTACATACAGTGCGTTGCCATTTAGATATAGAAGGAATTCTTCCTACAAAAAACAATAACAATTATGTACAATGAGAAAGTTTTCAAAAAGATTTTTTACTGTTTCATTATACGTACTGCTATGAATCATTAATGTATAGAATAATCTTTGTATGGCACTTATAAAGCGCTAATCTGACCTTTCAAGTACATAGATAGTAGCTTAGAGTGACTCAGAGTCGTTCAACTCTCGAATGATTGTTTCTGTCCAACGAACTCGGTCACTCGTACACATGTTGAATGCATCCTTTTTAAGTTGCCTGAGTCATGTGCTTAATGTTATAAACAGATGATGCAATGGCCCTTAATAAATGTTCATTCATTCGACCCATTCAATTTCTTTAGAACTTTTGTTCGAATTCTTCTGAACAAAAATTGAATGGACACACGAATATAATAAAAACGGACAATTATTTCAAACACTAATTATGTATAAAACAAGAACAAATGACCTTACTAAATCAACTTACCGAATCAACTACGACCTACTGGGCTCATTTCCAAATACTTCATGAAAATACTCAAGCAAGTAAAAACATCGTACAATTCGTTCAATTGTTTAAACTTTAGAGCTTCAGTGAAATAAAAGAAGAAATATTTATTTACAAATAACATAATATGATAGGACGTATGGAATACGTCTGCCTTTAGAATTTTATAAAAGAAGAACACAAAGAACGGAAAAATAATATAGATTTGCATCTTGGTAGGTACGTACTTGATAAAGCTGGTATTATCATTATCATACAAAAGAAGACATATAAAATAAAAACTTGATAATATAACTAATAATTACCCCAATAATCTGTAATCGTTAATTTGCTTTTCTAGTATCATCGCCGATTAAATAATCTTTAATAAATCGTACTTTATATTATTCCACACGTGAAATATGATTTACAGAAGCATCTGATAAATCCATATAAAATTGCAATAAAATAATATTGCTGGTATAAATTAAGATGTTAGTTATCCTATCTTTTAAGTTAGATCAAACTGCACATGGTGTGCAAATTTGATTGAAATCGGTTAATTAGTTTAGGAGTCCATAGCGGACAAACAACGTGACGCGTAATTTATATATATTAAGATTAGAATTACCAAGGTGTAGAGGACTTTTGACTTTACTTTAAATTCATAGGCTGCCAAAGAAAATTAGTGACTATCACGAGTCAAACACGATTCTTTTTTTATTGTTTTGTTGTTATTGTATTACGGTAATAATTTGGTTGACTGAAAACTTCATTTGTAAAGCTTTTGTTCAGCTCTTCAGACGCAATGGCTCGAACTCTACGACGAGGTTTAGTCCTGTGCAAATCATATCAATTTTGATACGTTTTAAGTCACATATAGACGAACTGATAAGAGATAGTGATGTTTCATCTTACTAGCGCTGAGTATGAATCCCGAATGTCAAAAACGTATAGATTTAACATACGCGAGATCTAACGATAAGAATGTTCTCCGAATCATTCTTTTGGACATCATCGTGTTATAACACAGCTCTTTAAAAAGTTATGGGAATCAGACAATTGAAGACTTCGATCATTGCAAAATATTATTGGAAGTTCTTATCGCATAATTATCCTTAAGATAGGAAGATAGGACAGGAAAGCATTATCGTGTTTCAGATAGAATATCACTTATTTTAACAATAACTAATAAGTACGTATATATACGTAAACACCTACTTATAACGTATTTTACTCCTAGAAAGGACTATTATTATAATTTTTCGCAAAATGCAGATGTTGGTAGCGCCCACAGTTTGCCACAAGCTCCATTGACACATACTTATGCCTTTAATAAAATTTTAATGGCAAGCATTCTATGAAAGACAGTCTAACTTTACATTTCTGTGCAACAAACAAAAGAAAATGAGTTGTAACACTTTTATTGTTAAAAGTTTGTTGTATAAAAATATAGATTATAAAGGCCTTTTCACTAAGGTCTCTGTAGACTCTAGTCAATAAAACAAGACTAGGGAAATTAAAGTAGTGCGTTACTTAGGAATATATAACAAAAATATATTAATTTACCTGCAACACATTTGTACCGCAGTATTTAGTTATTGATTAACAACATCTTTAGATATACATCTTCTGTAATTTGTAATTAAACTCCTAAACGGCTGGATTCGTGTATGTTTTAGATTTTTTTTTGTGTGAAGGACAACGTCCGTCGGTCCGTTAGTATAATTATATAATGAAAACAATTACATAATCTAATTTGAGTCACTCCCTACGCGTTTAGAATTTTTATAAGGTTATACAATGGCATAAGTCATTCAATTAATAATGATAATGATTGATTATAAATGAGTCACGTCTGAGTCAGATTCATCCCCATGGACGGGGTTTCGTCATTTTGTAAACAATAGGGGTGTGTCACGCTTTGATTATGATTTCAAATTGCATATAATTGCAACTGGTTCATCCTTAATTGAAATGTACGTGTAGCTTACATAGTATAGATGAATTTTGATTTTTTGGCGATGTGTTAGCTTAAAATTGTTCTTGATAAGTCGAAAAGTGAAAAGGGAGTCATGAATGTCAACTAAACAGATAAAAAATTAAATTTATCCCAAAATATGTTGCAAAGCGTAAAATTCGAAGACGCCTGGACCAATTGGAGTGTTATTTTTAAATTAATCCGTGCGAGGAAGGAAGAGAGAAAATTAAAAGTTGCACGGAAAAGCCTTAAACCAGTTTTATTCCGGAAAAGCGAACAGTCTTTATATGGTAGCATATCATGTTCCATATGTTGGTATGTAGCTATTTAAAAGGTAGGCTAAAGAAAATCATATTTGGGCGAAACTATGTTCGTGAAGGTAAGTATAAATACAATAAACAAAATAATAATATAGTAGTTATAACGTATTTTACACAATAAAATTGCGGTTGGTCAGTAGAGGTTATAACGTGTAGATCATCTGTGCTTCAAGGAAACCCCTTCAAAGTCATGTTATTGTTATGCCGATGCGTCACATACACGTAATGGCATTTTTTTGACGTCAAAGCTTAAATAAATAGCTTACTGCTGACTTAAGTTAATGCAATTACTTTGAATTTATTTTTATTGTTTATGTAAATTTAAATTGGATATCGGATAATCTTTTGCGTCACTATAACTGCGCGTATGTTAAATATTATCAACACGCACGGGCACCCGTGACCCGTAAACCTTGAATTTTTTTTTCATAGTTAATCTTTTCTTATGAAGATATTAGTGAAAACCGCAATTCCTTGTAGTAGTTTTTGCCTTTTTTGACAGACATATAGACGCGGCGGAGGTCATGTTTTTGTATGATATAAAAGTTGCTACTGACATAATAATGTCGCTGCCTTTTTTGTAGGCATTAGCTTTACAACTTTTCTCTAGAACACAATCATATATCTCTCACCGTTAAGGCAGCGTTCGTAAGAAACGTTTTCGTTCGACCGTTTTTTCTCCGTCTTTGCAAATTCAACTCACACGAAGTCTTTTCGTTTTTTGAGTTAAATATAGTGTCACACTCACAATAACGCTTTTTATTGGTAGAAGAACTTTTAAAATCGGTTCTGTAGATCCAGAGACTACCCAACAACCTCACAAACCGTACCTCTTTATATCATTGGTATATGTGTGAAGTTTATTATATTTATATATTAATATTTATATAAAAGTATAAAATCTCTTAATTATCACTCATACACTTTCTTAACAATTTTTTAGTTAACTATTTATTTTAATTACTTAATTAAAATAAATAGTTAACTAGGCATAACACAGAAAAAATCATAAGCTTTTAAAAATAAAAATAAAGTGTCGCACGAAGCGCCAATAAAATTACAATTAAGGCCCCCTCTGATAAGTAACGATAAAACACCTAGAACACCTGTACCAAAAATGAGTCACTATCCGCATGAACGACTCCAGCCCATATGTGACTTGTGACATGCGTCATATACGACACATTTGGTATTTTGGGTAAAACGCCACTAATTGCGGTTGAAATGTTATTTTATTATATTAAATTTGATAAGGACGGAATCATATAGTTAAACGAATGGTCATGCCTTCGTCGAGGAAAAAGGTAACAGCAGTTACTTCATTTGTTCCTGTTACCACGAACATGTAAATTTCGCCAATACATTAGGTAAATAAAAGAGTTTTAATGCGATAAGTGTTTTTTTAAAGTAATCTTTAAATGTATGTGACATAACACTACCTTGTTATCTTTGTTTATATTTTAAATTGTATGATCAAAATCACTTATTCTTTTCATACCCGAATTTATAAGAATATTTTTAGTCTACTCTGCCCTTTACTACTCTGCTCTTTATCTAAATATCTTGTATATTGTGTATAATACAGTTTTTTCTTTCTTTCTTTTCTTTCTTTCTTTCCCTAATATATTTAAATGAAACGCTTTGAACTACTTGACTCAGTGGCGTACTTGATTAATAGGTTAAACCTGGAAATCCTGTGTTCACTTTCCATCAAAATCGTAGCGAGGAAACAAATACCTATTTTTAGAAAATGGCCCTTTGTCGCATTAGATAGTACTTGATTTATTTTCTGTTCTGGGATTTTAGTAATGATTATTATAAAAATAATAAGTATCGTTTAAGAAGGCTCTCATCTAAAGAGGCTTGAGACGTGACCTATCTCATGTCACGACGAAGTTGAACGAGGCCTTCGAGAGTTTATTCGGCTTCTATTTTTACTATATACTTTTTATACTCCTAAATTTAGTTAACCCAGTGGTTTAAGCGTGTGACTCTTAACATTCAAACCTCGGCTGTGCATTAATAGGTATTTTCCTTCTATGAAAACCAGCATGGTCAGTTCCAAATTCGACTACTAGTGTCAGGCACAGAAGGAAGATAGCCGGTCTTTATAAGTCAAAGAGCTGTTCCTTCATCGGACGGTAAAACTGGTTTATAATGGTTGCAGGTGCTTGCAAACATTTTGTAAAAAAACCTTGCCGATTTAAAATAGTGACGAAGAGACATTTAAAGATACACGCAGTAGGTATTTACTGAGGGATCCATCACGGCACTACGATGTATTTAAAAAATTGTTACGCCATGGCCATCAAATTATTTAATGCTTTCAAGGGAAATGTGATTAGATTTTTAAAGGCAAAATAATGTGGGCAAGTTTTTAGAGCATACGTTTTGACAACAATTATAAATATCTAAACGGTTCTTATTATTATGACATTCTGATTATTAATATGACATTTGCATGCCTATTTTAATATGGGTAATTGTGCGGTTTTGTATAACTAATCAATCTGAATGTAACACTTTCATTGCAAATACGACTCATTTATTTGTTCTTCTAGTCAATTCTACGCCCTTGGTTTGAGAACTGGCAGTAAATGTGTATATGGAAACATTACTGACGTTCTTAAGTGTACATTAAGTTACCTATATGAATAAATTATATTTTGTGATTGGATTATAATTATATTAAATACTTTGATACATTTTAATTGAATCCCCTTAAACATCCTGCGTCAGTAAGTCTGACGTCATCGATACCTATGAGTGCATTCACCCTCAAACTTAGATCATCATTTTTAAGTTCGCCCACGACTCATCTCACGAAATCGCGCCTTGTTTGTAGGTGAAAATATATTTATTTAGTTTTAGTTATTTATGTGTTTAAGCAATTAATATTATATATGTATACAGTATGTTCTAAAAGAAACTAGTTTTAATTGACCTTGAGAAATAGTTTATTAAGTCAATATAAATAGTAAGGTACCAAAAATATTTATTAACTGATATACCAAAATTGTATTTAATTTTTTGGTTGTTATGATCTAATTAAGAGAAATAATGTTGTCCCACTCCTTTATTCTCAAACGCCACGAAAGTGAAAAGGACAAAACCTACGATCTCTATTTGAAGTTAAAACAGTTGAGTTTGTAACTATGTACCGATTTGTTAATAAAAACATCAGTCAAATTCTAAATAACTTTCTTGATAATATTTAGTTTATCACAAAATACCACATTTTTTTGTGATTTTTTATATTAATCATTGAATTAAATCCTATTTATTACTTTTATGTAAGGTATAAACTATAAATCATGAATGTCAGTATCAGTATCAGTGACATAAATTATATACGTATTGTAATTATTGATATCATATGAATCTTAATTGTACGACTATAATAAACTTTTGTAAAGTTTCCATACAATTTGTAATGAATATAACATATAGGTAATAATTAAATAAGCAAGTAGTCAAAACAAACACATCTAGTAAATTACACACTACATGTTCAGAGCATTATCTATAAAACAAAATTGATTATTTAATTAATTATCGAAAATAAAATTCCATTTAATCCAACATTATGTTAATAAGATAGCGCTTGATTATAAAACTTTATTATTACACTAATGTACTTGAATAAATTAGTTATAATTAAAATTGTCAAAATTGAGGCCGAATTCGCTACGATTAGTCACTCAGTACTGAAAGAACAAATTTAGATAAGTTATTTAAAGTATGTATCGCGAAAACGACCTCAAAACGGCATTCGACCTAGCCGTTTGTAATCTAACATAACAAGTCGGGTTTTAAACGCGAAAGTTTACGTTTCGTTTCCCTGGCTACTTTCATTGCAAACGAAAATAACTTTTAATACAATTACATATAGTTTCATATAGCATAACTATTTAGGGGACACGTGCGGAATCGAGGTATTAATGGAGTCGATATCGTACAACAAAGCGCTACAAAGCTTACAAAATATGCATTGTTTAACGTTTGCTTTGTAGCGTGGCGCTGTTAAAGCGCTTGTATGCTTAGTGGTATGCTACCGCACGATGACTCAAGCTTGGTAAACAGTATGCGGGGCCGATGAGTCACCGTTTTACACATTCGCGTATAGTGTTTGAGAAGTGTTGTCAGTCTACACTCCACGGTTGGACTCTTCAAGTAGTCAACCAAATAGTTTCAGGCGTTTATATCGCAGATTTACTGCCAAACGCGTATATTAAAAACTTGGTAACGACAATAAAACTATAGCTAAGGAAGTTTTGTGAAAGTGTGAGTTCTAGATAATAGTTATAAGTGTGTGCGTATTTAGTGAAACGGTCGATACGTTGGAAACAGAACTGGATTCCGTGAAGACATTAAAATGCCTTCTAATAAGAAGCTAATGTCTAAGATGAAGCAATTAGCACACTGTATTTTAGTTGTGCATATGGTGAGTTCAGTGATTATATTAAAACAATAATTTAGCCTATAAATTTAATATTGTTGTACTTCATAGTTAGTACTCTAACATAAGGTAGGACATAAATTATAATCAGAAGCTACCATTCATCTTTACATTGTAATGTACTACAAGAAACAATGACAAGAGTAAAAAACCAGGTGTTAGCAATTGTAAGTAAACTTAGAATGGAATTTTGATTGTAACATAAACCTCAATGTTAATTGGTATGAGAATATTAATAGAGGCCAGCCTTCAAAATTGTTGCTATTAACAAAATAGCAATAATTGCATATTATTGAATTTAATGTACACATAACATTATGTAACAATCTAAAGTATTATCATGATTTTACACTTTTATACATGATATTGTCTCAAATTATCAGTAGAAATCATATTACAGAATCTTCCACAACCATTATTTAGATCTTTAGGCAAGTTCGATCAATACTAAATTTTGTATATGTAGGCAGGCTTTGTAGAATATTTTTTCTTCGTTGTATCGTACAAAGCAGTGGGCGAGAGGGCTCTCGTTCGTTTTGTTTGTCTTCTAAAACGTCGTCCTTCAAAACCGGTCTGAAATTAAACGCCGGACAAGTAACAAGTCCGTGTTACTGACCACGGAGTAGCTACCTCATTCGTCGCCTCATAGAAAAAGGAAATTCGCAAAGTGTTTTATACATGATTGTGAAAGACATTACAAACAACGCTATATAATGCGACAATCTTGACATCGCTACTACTTTAATAAATATAACATTGTTTACGAAGCGCTAGTGGATATTGATTAGGACCCCAACAAACCCCTGGGTTGACTTAACTCTGTTACGAGTTCAAAGAGCAAAGTTTGTTTTAGCGGACGCCGCGTATCTTTTAGATATGTTCTCAAAAACAGTTTCTAACGTTCGACCTTAACAATAACGTTTTTTTCTAACAGGAAAACAGATGTTTCATTCCGAAACAATTTGCTCACTCAGCTGCTTACGAATAAGGATAGTCCTTTCGTCATTCATAATGATTTATCTCACCATCCGGTCTTTCCTTATGTCATGAACACGCATTCAAATCGCTGAATGGGCTTTTCAAAGTTTCTTTAAATAAAGGACAATGGGCACGAGAAGAATCTAATCTCGAAGTGACGCATCCTTCGTTCTCAGATAGGTTGAGGTTAAAGTTATACGTATAAACATAATTTTCATCAAGGACTTTGCTAAGGAGCGTTGAAAATTTCCTTAATTGTTTCCTCCATTTGTAAGGGTCTACTTAAGACCCCAGTCCTGGACGATTCGGACTGGCAACTTAGTAATTAAGCTTATTTCCTCCGCTTGTTTTGTCGTTTACAACAATTGTGTGTCTAATTTGTTGGAGTTAGATGAGTTTAGGTTCGCAGAAACGTAATATTAGACTTGACTAGAAGACTCATTAAAATATTTACATGCCTGTTATTCGACTAGTCAGACAATCAGCTGCAGGGTATGAAACTATAGAAGAGCACGTTCGTGGGCTTTGCGAAAGTGAAAAGAATAAAACGATGTACAGAGCATTTAATTCAGTTAGACCTGTTTGCGGCTTCTGGTTTGCAGAACGTGACCAGACAAGGTTTGGCGACGTAGGATTGACCGCAACGATTGTATTCTGATTCCAATATCATTTGCCATTTCTTACTTTTTTAAGAGTCGGTTTCAAATGTTGCCATTTTCTTTGCCAACAAATCTGTTATCTTTTTAATTGTCGTACACTTATCAAATAAAATGAACATAGTATTACCCTCGTATATTCGCTTCACATAATATACAAGATGTAAGATTCCAAATTATTTTTGTAACCCCCAAGGTTATAACTTTCATTTTAAATTCATAAGATTTGATAAATTTGTAGAAACTGAATATTTGACAGACGTATTGCGAGGCATTTATTTATGTGATACGACACTGCAGTGAACTATTTTAGTTCGGCGGGCCAGGAGGCGTGTCTCCGGTATTTATACATCGCTGGGCTGAGTCATGTGGCCGTCTGAAAGTTGTCCCACATCCTTAATACTGGATTACTCATAGCGAACCCGGAATAAAAGCTTTCTATATATAATTTAAATTTATATCTTGTTATTTTCCATGTCATGTATAGGGTAAGGTTATGGCGCTCAGAGTTTCTTTTGTTTTATTTTGTTCTTAATAAACTGGAACTAGTAACAATCAAATAGTTTACAAAGCACCCTGGTTAACCTACTATTGCTAGGTTTAATATTACTATATCGACTTACTATGCAGATAAAAAAAAATGTTTTTAATTTATGTTATTATTATTAATTACTTAAGATGTCATGTGGAATATGGTGTAATGGTTGCAGCTCCTTACAAACGTTGTGTAAAAAAAACATAGCGATTAAAAAGAGTGGCGAAGAGTTTATTGCCAGTTCTTCTCTTCCGTTCTACACCCGTGCGTTGAGAACTGGCACTAAGGGCTCCCACACAAAACTGCGATTTCGCATCGCATCGCATCGCAGTTTTGTGTGGGAGTCCTAAATGTAAAGTTAGAAGCATTTCATATATATTTCCTTTTTTGACGTTCATCAGTATACATTGTGTTACCTACGTAATATAAATAATTTTTGACTTTTGATGTTAATTAACTTTGTTAGTAGTAAGTAGAGTAAGAGTAAGAGTAGTAAGCTCTTTCGTAACGGATTGTAGCTGTTTCTTTGATATTTTTTTTTAAAAGGTCAATCAAATCACCTTCTGTGTTTACACACTTACTAAGACATGCCACGATGTAATATAGTTTACTATATGTTTACTATCACCAATTGAGGCGCCAGGTGTCTGTGCGATTGCGTATGTCGCAAACGTTTATTCGCGGTGAATCACTTTCAATCTTTTGCGTTTGATTATTTTGTTCAAGTATATTTTTTATTGATTAGCAATATTTAGGGTCTGTTTCACAATGTACGGATAAGTTCTACATAAGTTCCAAATTAGCTATTTATTACTTATTGGTAGGATAAACACTATTGTTACGTTTCACGACTGTCAGATAGCGCTATTCGTCACATAAAGTCCATCATAAGTTATGAGTCCGATGAATGTCAAATAGCACAATTTATCTTCCAAATAATTTATGTGTTGCATAGCTATTTGGTACTTTATCCATACATTGTGAAACAGACCCTAAGTGTATAAAATTTTTGATAAATTTAGATACTATATACCTACCACAATGTTTTGACATTGTCCTTCATAGAAAATGTTGCTTGACAACAATTTTGAATGTTTGATGATACTTTTTAGTTATCAATAATCACAATGATGTGTACTATTTCAAGTGGCAGGCAGATCAACCTTTATCAATATTATCCTTGATAACACTACGTATATCTCAGCATTATAATCGGCTTTAGTATTGTTACGTAAACTTGGGTCTTCCTATATTATTACTCACTTACGATTTGTCGTCGTGGAGATTATTGATCCCCCTCCCCCATGTAACTCGCCGTAACGTTTTTCAGTACCCAAGTATAGTAAAACGTTTCGTGACCACCTTGTGACTCTTCAGTTACTATTATGTCGTGTAAGTCGAAAATAATATTAACAATAACGTGTAATTCAATCCCCGCCCCCCCTCGTAACGTTTTACAAAATGACCCCCCCCCCCCCCCAAAATTCGTTACGTAACACTTGAACGCTCCCTATACAGGTTTTTCTGTAGTCCGTCTTCAACACCCTGATAATTTCCTTGCTATATATATTATTTTGTTAGCAAACAAACCAACATATGGAACATTTTGCTTTTGCATAAAGACTCTTCGTGTGTTTCCTAAATAAAAACTGGTTTTTAGTTTTTCCGTGCAATTTTTCTCTCCATAGAAACCTTCCTTAGAGTTTAAGGAATAAGTTACAAAAAATACTCGAATTGGTCCAGCCGTCTTCAACGATTGCGATTAGCAACAAATTTTGCAAAACATATTTATTTATATAATGATATAAATGTAGATATGAATGTTGTGGCTTACAATAACAAATTAAACAAAGTTTGGCACTTATCGCAAAATATAACAATCTTCATATTTACACAATGAACTATATGATTTAAGAGTACCTAGTTTCACCGGAAAGCGAGCAGTAGTGTACCATTAACCCTTTACAATTTCACGAATTGTGTTTGAGCAGTATTCAATCAGATGCTTTCAGAGAACCCTTCCGATTCAGGGCTAACATTGATTTGAATTGGTAAATACAACGATAGGGATATATTGATGATCAAATTGGCTATTTTCGCGCAGCTGGCTCAATCTAACGCTACACATTCCAACAGTAAATTTCGTATCTTTTTTAGATAAATTAAGTAGTAGTAGTCAACTGTTTAGATAATTATCTTAAATCAAGGTCTTTTACGGTGGTTAATACTAATATTTTGCTTCGTACTCAAAGCGCGTACTTCTAATACATTGTATTGATTCTTCTATTTGACTTTTAACTCATTGTGTCAAGTATAATAAACTTAAACTATACTACTACCACTTTATCAAGCAGTTATCTCCAATTCTGAAGTTTTAATGAGCTATTGTAATACAATAAAATCAGTCAGTACACTAATTAAGCGTCAAAACAAAATATGCAAATAAAATCTCTAGACAACGCAAATCACGAGGGTGGCGCGGTCTATTAATTATGTAAATATACATGTAGGTATTTAGGTACCGTGCTACAATGCATCAAAGTCTCTCGATGAAGTTTGAATAAAGAAAAGCCTCCCGGCAATGAAACCGGTTGCCAATCCTTTTTCCTTTTTGAAGACTCCCTCATGTTTAATGACGTTAAAATAATTATGGTTAAAGGTTCCTTGAATGTATTTGTTAGGTGTCGATATTTTTTGCAAGCATTGCATAATGCAGTACATTCAACTCATGTTTACGTAAACGTTTCGAGGTCGGGTGCTAAGCAAGATATACTTGGTGCTTTAAGTTACTTGCTGTTTGTTAAATATACATTTTAAATGTTAAGTTTTGTACTTACGTTTTTATACGCTGTTGACTTAATTTGTAAGAATGAAAACTATTTACGAACTGTTGTGTTACAAAATAATCTTAATTGTGAGGTAGTAGGTAAAATTAGTTTTGGAATCCCGTGAGAATCTGTAAATTTGAGAGACAACTTCGGTCTTTTCAAACGTTATCACCTAATCGAGTACAATATCTCATAATATTCTTTATGCTCATTCTCATAAACAGGAATGGTCCCTAATAATGATCGTACGAGGGGAGAGGACATCTAACCGACCGTTACGGTCTACGGATATGTGACCGCTGCATTTTATTACCACTTTACTCTGCCACATAATCGACCTTCGTGATGAAGGGCTTCTTTCCTTATTTGAATATTTAGCTTTGAAATATTCAAGCTTTCAGAGAGCCCTGACAAAATTTTAGTGAGTTCCTGGTTGTTAGTTGCGTAAAACACGCAACACAACAAACAAATTTACATTTATTTAATAAAATAGTGACAAATAAACATGATATTATAAGTAATTACCAAGTTCTGTACATCTTATTTAGGAGCTATTTGTTTTGATGAATGAATGTGAATATACATATGCACATACACGAGAACAGAGTTTTCGTTTATTTGTCTGTGTTCTATTGTAATTACATTAAATAATTATGCCTTTATTGTTACAGGTCGAGTTTTTAGAAGCATACTGCACACCTCGGGACACAGCCCGCAGATCACCACAACACAAGCGCCGCTCAAGAGAGCCGCGCCGTTCCCCTGATACCAAATGGCGATACGATTCCCGACGTCAAAACTACGACTTGGATAGGCGTTCCTACGAATACGAATCTAGGAGATACATTGGAAGAGAATACGATAGGGATTCGGGACGCCGAGCTTTCGACGCTGAGTCGGCGAGGCGACGCGCTGACTACGAATCAGCTAGACGCACGGATTTTGATTTATCCGCACCGGAGTCCAGGCGAAGCCCTGAAAGCGCTCCAGAAGGGTCTGCTGAGTCACCGCCCGAACCAGCACCATCTGCGCCTTTACGACAGGAAAGGGCCTTAAGACATCGCTCACAGCCGTATTACGAGTCTGGTGAGTTTATTTTTATATCACTTATAAATACACAGGGATCTTCGACATATAACTTTGAAATACGGATGACGTACACTCTTGATCACGTAACCATTTTTAGCGGGTCACACCTGGTGCAAAGTTACTTTGTCTATGGGCCCCTAAAACGCTAAATGGAATATATATATATAGATGTATCTTTGTATACAGTCTTAATTAAATATAGTATATGCATGCTTCATTCTTGAGACACTAAAATCTAAATAATGTCAATGATAAAACTGTTCATTGTGAATCTGTTAACATTTTATTAGTGTAAGTGATGCGCAATCACATAAGAAATAGGTCCTTTTAAGTTTTCATATAATAATCCTAATAAATCTGTCAAGGATGTTTCTAATAACGTCTCTTTAATAGCTTGTACATTTTGTAATAATATAGTTACAATTTTATTTTGAGTATAACGTCATCTCATGTCTAAGGAATGGGAGCAAACCGTCTATTCTTTTATTCACAATCGCGGCGGACTTGTTTCAACCATTGTTCTCTCGGCTCCAGACTAGACCCAAAGAAAAAACTTAAATGTTTCGCATTTTTATCAAGACAACATCAAGAGCTATGAATTATTATATAAGTAGGCTGGAGCTCGCTAAGCTTAACGGATATTTTTATTAGTTACGAGATTTTATGAAATTGTTTGAAGATTTAATAAAAGATAACAAATATGAACTGAGCGTATTGGTAAAGGTTATTATTGGCTGAATTGAACATATTTTGAAATGTAAATGTAAAATTAGAAGCATTTAATATGTATGTTTTCTTTATTGACGTTTATAAGTGTAAATTGTTTAATTTAGTATATATATATATAGACTCGACATTAAAATCCGTCTTTCGTTTAGTTTTGTATCTGAGCGCTTGTTCCTAATAATGATTGAATTCACGAACAGTTGTACTCAAAACTTTTAATATATATAATGAACTCGTTCAAATATTACACATTATATTATGTTATCAGTTTTTTAATCACAATCGTAGTAGTTTCGTGTAATGTGGCAGAATTATTTGCGGCGTTTAACAATAGTCGTAATGTTTTTGTCAATTTAAATCATCAATCATTCTTGGTGAAAACCGTACATAACCGATGTCTCATTCATCCGGGGACTTCATTTCAAAATAAGTCTACCAATAATTTGCATTGGTTTGAGAGATAATTCGCGTCAGAGATGATTTGATGTTGTGTGAATGCCGTAAATAGTCTTCAATGTCCCACAAAGTAGGTAGTCGATTGGAAATTTACAATTAGGCTAGATAAAACCTGCGCTAGTGATGAACAATGGCAACTTTTAATCAGGCGCTGTTCGTCTAGACTGAAAAAATCCTCGGACGTAATAAATGAGAATTTCCATTGTATTCCACAGCGGTAAATAATAACTGCAATTTTGTAGATTATATCCTTAAAATGTTATTCTGGGATATGGGGATAAAAGTCATATTTATCTAACGAATAACACCAAATATTAATTACAATCTAACATGTGATGACCTTTACACACTATTTTTAAATTATCTATTTGCTGTAGTATATTTTTTGTTCGTAAAAATCAGTTAAATGTAACTGGTATATGTTTTCGGTATGATATGAATAAATATCGTCATGATATAGTAAACTTTAACTATATTCATAACTAGTTAGGTGATTAAAAAGAGGGTGCGTGTACTTATGTACGCGCGTAAGAAGTTATACTTCTTTGGCATTATTAAAAAAAATTTCACTCTCATAAATTTTTCATAACGCGCCTAAAGAAGTATAACTTCAAAAATTATAAATATAGAATATAACGTGGTAAGGACTCATATATTTTTTTAAATTATTTTTTTGAATATTTTATATCTTATACTTCATTAAATCATTTATTAATTGTCTAACGGCGTTGAATTCACATGGATGACCAGGTCGTCTTGATTAAAGGAATTAAAAATGGTGGCATTAATGTGGTTCCTTTAATGAACCAGCTTATTTTGCTACTACCTAACACAAGTTATGGCCATTCAAGATCGGATTTCCGGCTTATTGAATTTATGATGTCATGTTACAAGTATTCTCAGTGAAGTTTACATTTCCGCTCAAGCATTTGATTTATCTCGAATGAACTCCAGTTTTGTAATGTCTTAGGTTTGTTTCCGGGGTAAAAAAACACAAATTTCACGGTTGTTGTCTCGCCCAGCTTAGAAAGGGCCCAGGCGGCTGGACTTTTTTAAACACTTCCAACAATTATCTTTATATTCCAACCAATGTTAAAACCTTTACAAGCGATATACTAAAAGCTTCCTCGTGAATCTCTATGGGTGAAAGCATTCGTTTAGTCGTGTTTGAATTTATCGCGAACATATAGACAGACTTGTAAGAGGACTTTGTTTTATAATATGTAGTGATAGTGTATATTATTAGTTGGCTCTTGATTTATCTCTATACAAGCTTACATTTTAATAACTTTAGTCTCACTTAATCTAAACGTAGACGGGGAAACAGTTCGAAAAGACATTAAACATGTAAATCGTGTCAATTAAATAAATTCGTGCTCATAGGCTACACGTCCAGTCACGCGGAAAAGTAATTACGTCACGTAATGACGTCATATTACACACCCCTCTAATAGTCGATTTTGGGTAACCAATCAGAAATTGCGATTATCTTTAGTATCGCAATCTTTGTCTATCCAAGTAGATTTAGATAGCTATACCGACTTTAAGCTGTACTTATAACAACAAGTTTACGAATACGAATATAGAATTGAGTTGATATTATTAACGCATAAATCCTAGATAAAAACGGTTTGAAAAATTCCAAAGGAGGAAAAACTAGCTTGTGCATTTCTAAGAACTGTCGGCATAAATGCGTATATACCTATTGTGTATCGTGTAGATAAGGTCGTAGTAATTTTGTATTAAATATACATTTAATATATTTTAGGTATACAGTTGTTACGTTTAAATAAGGGATAAACGCATATAATGCACTATGAGTTTTGTCTACTGTCATTTATAATGTTCCACTTGAGACGATTCGTAGACGCAGACAAGTAGGTTTCGACATCATTACTCACATTTTATTCACAAAACGTTATTAAATTTTGAAGCGTTCCTCTTCGCGGTTTTCTTTATATTACCTAACATACACCGCCAAGAGGAAAATATATATTGTATAAAAGCAATTGTTATTTTTGACTTTAAATTATAATCTTTATTTATTTGTTTCAGAATCATCTACAGACGATCGATCTTCATCTAGTGAAGAGGAAGAAGAAGACGACGAATTTGGTGAATTCGATCCATTTGCAACTGCACCGTCCTTACATTCGCCCGATAGTGGACGCTCTGATCCACGCTACGCTAACGCCCCTCGCAGAAATCCTAGTCCATACTATTACGGCGATCTGTTTAAAACCTCTGCACCAGCTCCAGCTCCGGCAGCTGCAGCATCTTCAACGTCATCGTCGCGAGGTCCGAGGTACAGAAAGTCAGCCAGCCTTGACGCTCCCCACGTTGCTCAAAGACCAAATCTGCCAAAACGCTTCTCAGTGGCTGAGGATGGCTTTCGTGAGCTAGAACGATCGTCATCTTCGTCTGGCGAGAGCGCGTGGATGCCGCCGAGGCGTCGTGGGCGCGACGCGGCCGGCTGCGCGTGCGCCGCGCCCGAAGATGTAGATGAGCATCACGCGTCTCGTAGTGTTTTTTATGTGCCGGCTCCTCTGCCCCGCTGGCCTCAAGAGATGACCACTCGACAGATATACGAGACCGCCTTTGACTGCAAAATTGCCCGCTCTGATGACGACTTGGACGATTTTGATCGTGTCAGCAACCACCCGGCCCTATTACAGGCTGAGGAACGTAAACTTATTACCTCGGCGCAATCAGCATTTGAAGCTGTTGAACGCAGTGAGCCTGACTACAAAGGTCGTCGCAAGGTGACCATGAAAACGGATAGTGTACGACGTTCCAAGATACCCACGATTCGTCAAAAAAGAGAAAATGATACAAACACTACCGTATTATCCGAAGACTTAGAAAAAGTACACATTATAGACGATGACGATAGGACAGCATCGACGTCACAATTACCTTTAAGAGGTTATACACCGTCACCTCCGTCGACAGCGCCACTGCCGACAAAATTTCAGCAAAAAGATGGCTCTGCGATGAATAGTATTAAAAGTGCTCCTAATTTACCGCAATCCCAGCCGGCTCATCCACGTTTGAAGGACTTAAGATTACCTGTAAAATCATTACGGGCTCGAGACACGCCAACCAGCAGCGACGCTAGCATGACAGACGCCAAGGCATCTGTCTCAACTGACCTAGACCTTGGTCAGAGACTCAGGGATTCATCTCGAGAGTCCCGTGATGGTGACGATGAAAGAGGACAGTCAAAAGACGGTATTTTTTTAGAGATTAAGGGTCGACCCACTTCCGATTCAGACACCCCAGAATTGAATCGGTATTCAGGGCCAAAGGGGGTCGGCCCTATAATGGAGTTTAAAGGCAGGCCCGGTATAGTGCGCCCTCGTCGAAAATATTCGAGCACTGAGAGTATGGCTACTAGCAGCAGTGGAGGAAGTATGGAATCACTAAGAAGCAGCAATAGCGAAGGTGATAGAAGTAGTAGTAGTTCTGAAGGCCGACATTCTTCTTCTCTCAGTTCACACAGCTCGGATTCTGGGAACGTTCCATTTGCTAAATCACACCACATGCATTTGACGGGGTTTGGGCATCATCCGGCTAAACTGCATATTTTAAGCCCTATATCTGATAAGTCTTCACAAGAGCCAGCGTCGGAAACGTCTGATAACAATAAAAATAACAACTCACAAAAAGTTTCACCCGAGGACGGTGAAATAGGAAATAACACTATACAAACCACCGTGGAAATTGTGGCTAAGCCCAAACGACGGGCTTTGCAAAATCGGAATTTATTGAACCTCACATTTAGACATTCGACACCTGGGGATACTGAGATTCAAGGCTCCGACAGTGGTATTTCTATTCACTCCCGAGAGGGGGTCGATTCGAGAAACGCTTTCATCAATTTTAAAAATAGCAACACGGAGGAAGTTCGTAAGGATGAAGCTGTGGACCTATCCGATCTTCCATTCGATATGCCAAAACTACGTAGACGGCGGGCCGAGGCCGAAGTTGATCTACGTACCTTGCCATTTGATATGCCAAAACTACGTCGAAAGTTGCGCGGCCAGTCTTTACAACTAAACAGTGATTTTGGTGATGCAATATCGAACGCTTCATCCAGCCAAAGTGTTCAAGACTTAAACCAAGGTAATTTATTTTCCTTATAGCTTATTTACAAATTGCGTATTTGTCGGTAAAAGGGTCTGTCACATTAAATTAAAGGCTCTCGTAATTTGACCTGACTTACTCAGAATAATAAACCGATTAAGATATATGAGTCCAGATTGAACCACACGAAATGTTCTAGTCGGACGCCCTTATATTTAATTCACTTGAGTGCCTTACTGGGGAACTTTTTCCTTCACGTTGCAGGCAATTTGTAAACGTTCAGTCAAGTTAGGAGTTTTCGATAGACTCCCGTTTGACAGATAATGGGAAGTGACTTATATTGCTTCCATAATGCAACCTTCTTTAAAGCTTTATGACGTGAGATAAGATGTATCTTCTATATTTTAGATAAACACCGAGAAAAGCTGACATTGAATTTCAATAGCGGCAGCAGTGGCTCGAACGGATCTAAAGGATTACATTTAAATTTGGGACCCATCGCTCCGCCTCGAGATTTGGTTGATGCATCACTTCCACTTGACCGTCAAGGGTAGGTTTATTTATATTATATCATTTATACTGTTCATTGTATACTTTTAATCGGCAAACTGAATTTATGTAGAGCCTAAAACTATTATATATTATAAAATGTTTGATGAATTAAAACTACCGCACACAACATATCAAACTAGCATGCAAATGTGTCAATATAATTCAAATCAATTAAATTATGAATTATAAGAACTCGCTGATATTATAGAAGATATATATACCGTGTATTTAAAAAATAATTCCTTTCAGTTTTAAAAATTACAATAACTAATGTGGATGTTTTGTATTACAGGTGGTATCATGGAACGTTGTCGCGCGTGGAAGCTGAGAGTCTGTTGAGAGACGCAGAAGAGGGCGCATTCTTGGTTCGCAACAGTGAATCCGCCAAACATGATTATTCTCTAAGTTTAAAGTGAGTACATATTTTAATAAATAACTAATGTTTTTTTTTTAAGCCATAGTTTTGTATTTATAGCATTGACAACATTTTACGATGATTTATTAATAAAAAAAACTATTTTGAATCTATGAAAGACTTAGTCAAGTTGTTATAATTAGAATATTGAACTATTCAAATCGTATTATCTCAAATAATTTATTATATAAGCTATACCTAGCATTTATATTGTTTATTTTTAGATGTTAATAAGTATTTTTGATTTCCAGATCGACACGTGGCTTCATGCACATGCGTATATGTCGCGGGAGCGACGGATACACCCTGGGTGGGGCTTCGACCGCCTTCCCCACGGTCCCGGCTCTGATGAGGCATTACGTCACAGCTCAAAGGCTGCCCGTCAGGGGCGCAGAGCACATGGCGCTGTCGACCCCACTACCGGCCGTCATGCTTTGAGGCCTCGAAGCGTGTGGAACTATCCACTGGAACCATCCGTTTTTTCCTGGCCTTGAAAACCCAGGAGGTGTCGATTTCTTTGCGTTCGCTTCGCGTCAAGGCGAGTGTAAATAATAAAGGTTTTTTGATACATTAGAACCTGTTTAGGTGTAGGTTAGTGCCCAGTTAATACCAAAGAGTTAGATTAGTTTAAGGGGCTTTTTGTATTGCGCTCATTTTTTATGCTAGTCCCGACCGCAGCCTGTATTATTTATTAGTGATCGTAATTTATTTCATATCTGTATAACAAGGTTTGTTGTAGCTTATTACTAAGATATTTAAACGAAACTTATTAATTAAGCGATAATTAAGCGGTTTTTGTAAATAACGAAAGGCCTAAGGTTCTGTTTATGTACTAAAGCACAAATTACGGAAACGTGAAATAGACCGTTCGTTGACTTGCCTATTAAAAGTGAGTCATCGCTTAAGCTGTCACGACACTATCGATTTAAGGTACGAGCCGGTACCTTATGTTTTGTACTGGATACAGCGTTGGTACTCTGTTACTTCCAACATCGATATTGACTTTTATATTCTATGTAGCCCCCGCGATATCCGTGATCGTATCGAGCGGCAAAACTCAACATTGAAGTCGGGATCCCATTGGGAGTTACAGAGTACTGAGGCAGGACTATTTTGCACTGTAGTTTATCTAGATTTTTCACCCACGAGCTTAGGTTTAAGATGTCTATGTTGAGGGAGTAGTGACGCGTGTCCAACGGACTATATTAATCAAGTAGTTTCGGCACATGCGCGTGCGATCAAATAGAGTGCACATGTTACGTAACAAACACCTCGACTTATTTATATTTTTTGTTACATTAGACTTAAGTAGAAATATTTATGGGCCTTGTAATGAGGTTTTCTTTTGGGTAAAATGGTCCAATACATTAATCGCATTTAAGGTTAAAATTGTTTACTGTGATTTAATTTAACGCTGGATTAAAATATGTTTTAAAAATCTGGGTTTTAAGGATTTCATAAGCAAAGTGATCTCGAATTCTTCCTCAGCGATCCAGTTACCTTAGTTATATTTTTGTACCTGATTTTGACTAACACTTCGTTTGAGACTTAAAAATACATTTTAACATATTTTTTGTTACGTGTATATCGTTAGTAATAGTTGTATATGGGAACGAGCGAATTTTATGTATGTGAGACATTTTAATGTGTACTAAACCACCGCAGTGCAGCTTCTGCAAGCGAAACTAATTTTAACGTTTGGTGTTTGATTTATTTGAGAATTTATTTGTAACAGTTTATTTATATGCAAAGGAATGGACGATCTCAAAGTAATAATTAACGGTTGATTTAGATTCATTATATAACAATTGTTCTGTATTCCAAAAATAGAACATACGTGAACACATTACAAGTTAATTCTCAAGTTCCTCAACGCCTAAATTAAACCGTTTTAACTAAGTAGCGTGAGGAAATTACAGTAAAAGTATTATTGATTGAAAATAGTACGATTCATGTATGTGCAGTTTTGTGTAAGAAATTAATGATAACTCCGATAGTATGCTACTCTTAAAACAAAGAGGATTGAAGTAACTTTTAGCTCCTGCAAATAGTGCATCTTATAATTTTTGCACCATTAATTTGTATACATTTAATTCAATTGTCATTATATAAGGGCGGTTGATGAAAAATGATTAATACTTATCAAAGTTTCAATATAATTTTTTATTGTACATTCCTCATGTATTTAATATTTAACGTAGTAAGTATATAATGGAATGAATACTTAGTATGGGAAATCTCTTGGAAGTCTTAAAACGTGTCAAAATTTTTTTCATAAAACATTAGGTTTCGGTCAAATGTTAGGTAATGTTATAGCTTATAGTAGTTATAATCAATACAGTTTTGAAGGTGTAGTTTGAAATGAATGACGTAATAAAGTCTTAAAAAATATCTTGGTGTTATTTATTTTCCTTTAGCTATCTTCGATATATGCATCTGATCACACTTGGTTTCCAATTAACAACAACCAAATGTTATTGGTTGTTGTTCTGTTGATTGTACCAATGTTTAATAAATTCACGATAATGTTTTAGTTTTACTTAGCATTACACATTACCTTACGATTGGTACCTTAAAATTGGCAGTGAAAAGAATAACAAGTAGTTTTTATGCATTATTAGCGCCATCTATTGATTTAGGGTAGAATACATATGGCACAAGTTTTAACTTTATGCCAGTTTCAAGTAAAATGTAGGGAAACTACACGCGAGAAAAAATAAACACAGACATCAAAAGGAAACAAAGGGATAAGCTAGTTAAAAACAAAATCTGGACATAAACATATTAAACCTTAATATTATTATTGATTATGAAAGAAGATATACATTATAATATAAGTCAAGTCAAAATCATTTATTCATATAGGTAAAACAATGTACACTTATGAGCGTCAAAAACGAATTATATAATTAATGCTTTTAATTTTACATTTTGCCAGTTTTCAAACCAAGAGAAGAACTGGCACTAAACTCTCCGCCACTCTTTTTAATCGCCAAGTTTTTTGTTTTACACAATGTTTGTAAGGAGCTGCGACCATTACACCATGTTCCACGTGACATCTTAAGTAATAAATAATAATAAAATAAATAATAACAAAGATTTGTACTCTATCAGCAGGAGCCATGGTGAAATAGGAGCACGCACCTACATTCTCGTGGGAACAACACGCAAATACATAGTCGAAATAACTAACATCACCGCATACACGAATTCAAGTCCGACCAGTCACCACAAGTAGCACCCGTTCTCGAGTATGACGCATGGCCAGCCATCGGCCCCCTCGCCATCTTTTAGGGAGAGAGACAGCCCGACGCATGAACGTCGCCACAAGCAATTAATTAATGACATTTAAGCGAGCATGACGATCCTTGAAATGTGAACTTGGCTACATATAACATAAGAAAATAATAATACTAATTGTACTGAAATAATTCGATACCACATGGATGACGGTTTGTTCCCACTTTACATTAAAACAGTCGTGGATGTTCATCGCCTCCGAAGTCCGAGTCTGAAAATGTAGCCGAGAGATTCAGTTGCGTTACCTCTTTATACTGGAGCAATTCATATCCAAGCACTAGAATCGTTTAAATATTCAATAAAGGATAAAGGAAAAGACAGGAGATTTTAGTCGGAAACGGAACATGTAGTAATTGTAAGGTCATATTGGGAACAAGAAAAGAAAATACAGACGTGGTCACCAATATCTTCTCCTCACTCACTTTTGTGATACAAAATGCTGTATAAAAATATATATTTAGCACTAGCCGTTTCGCGCCCGCTTTGCTGGACGAATTAAAATAAATTTTATGTTTCATTATTTTATTTTTTTTCATATTTTTATTATTCTTCTTTTTAACTTCCCGCTAAGAAAATTGAAATATTTCGAAAATCGAGTTTTTAACAGATGTTGACGTTTAGAGGTTCTAGGAAGCCTCCCCGAATGTTTCCGCGGTGAAGTCCGTATGGATAAATTTTCATAAAAGTAAAACAGCAATAAAAAAATGAAGGAACGTTGGAATTTAATAAATAAATAGCCATAAACCATCTAAAATTTCGCATCGAATGGTGGTAGTTTCATGTCGATACGATCAGTGGTTTAGGCGTGAAGGAGCCTCAAACGAAGACCATTTTTCTTTTATATATATAGATTTTGTATCTAGTTCTATACTATTTGGATACCTTAACCCATATTTTTGTGTTTTTAGCGCCACCTATTATTTTACATACACACTACATACAGAATGTGAACGTTTAAGTTATTCTGTTCTACGCCATCTAGGAGATCTTATTGTTACAATACCTGATGTTTCATGACATTAAGAGATTTTTTTTCTATTAAAATGCCATCTATCAATTACTGACCAAAACTAATGTTACAGTTTTAGTAGCTTAATCTAGATATATTTATTTATATTAGCGCCATCTCGGTGTACACATTGAAACTAGAAGTAGAAACGAGGAGGAAGAAACGAAAATAGGGTTTTTAAAATTCTTTTAACTAATTAATTAGGTTTTAAATGTCTAGTTAACTTCACAAAATTGTGAAACAGATACAAATTTTGGTTAACCCCATGCCCTCATAGATATTGTGGAATTTCACATTTCACTCTGGACAATAACCTTCATCGAAGAAACGGACATATATAATTGTTTCTGTGCCATGCTCCTAAATATCTTGGTATAACTAGTAATAACTAGAACTACTAGAGGATTAAGGAATATGCCACCCGGTTGAATTTAAAAAATCGTGACAGTTCAGTTAAAAAAATATCTTTATTGAAACAGACACAAAATTTGTGTATTGCATTATGTTATTGCAACACTAACAGCTTCATATTAATATTGTGTACAAGCGTATTATAAGCATAAATCTATACTAATATTAGGTCCTTACATATGAAATTGATGTCTCGTCGTACTTTGACTTAAATATAGGAGATATTTGAAGTCTTTGGTTAGGAATTCCAAACTCAATTTTTTAGAGCTTACTTACTCGTGCATTTATGTACATATATTCAAATGGAACAGGAATTTATCTTCTAATAAAATAAAAAGCGGGGGTGCTTTTCAAGATATTATCGAAATGATAATCCTTCTCATATCTGTCAATTAAATATTCATAACTATTGACACCATGCACCCCACGCTTTTTTACAATTTACAATAAAACATTTTTTTTCTTATTCAAACTGTTAATAACTTATATTTATTATTTTTTTTACATTATTCTTAATTAATATTTATTAAAATTAATTTTCTGTTTTTTAGTTTGGTTTTCTATATAAAGCGTGTGTTCTAGTTTATTTAAACTATTATTTATTTTTATTTTTTTAGTTAAATTTTTTTTATTTTATTTTTTCGGATTATTGCATTGTCATCGATCTTTGACAGGTGCGCAAAGTTTGAATTAAATCTGTCCGTTTAAAGTGGGTCAA